GGCGTTGGAAACGAATGTAAGCTGCAGGGAAGGGGTGGGGGAGGTTGGTGAAAATCTCTGGCACTTCTGGCTTTGAAAGGCGCCCCGCCTGCTTTATCCCTGTGAGTCTTGGGAGGAGACCTCAAAGCGCCAGTTTCCAGCTTTTCACTTCAGTGGGTTGTCATGAACTTGGATTAAAGCTGGATACCAGCGAGGTGGGGGAAAAACTTGGAGTGGAAAGTGCCAAAGCTTTAACACCCTGAAGTGCATGGAGATACAGTGCCAAATCAAGCGCCTCAACGGGCTATACCTGCAATGTATCAAAGTCTCATCAGGTAATTGCTGTATCATGTGAAGCGAGTCATCAAATGAACCTGTAACTTTTGAAGCCGTGATCTTGAAAAACCATATTGGATTGCTTTTTTAATAGACCACACTTTCAGGGGAAAACACTCAATTTTGTTAAAAATGAATATATTGTGCGTTATAGGTGAGTGTATTACATGTTAATTGCTAGAAATAGTTGGGAGTCTGAGGTAAAGTTAGAGTGTAATTTTCTGGGCTTGTACTTAAGACAGAACTATTCTAGGAAAACCGATTGGGAGGATACACAAGTCAAAGTAGCTTAGTGGGTGTGAGAGTTGGATGTAGCTCAAAATAGGATTCCTTCCTAGGGGTGGGGTGGGGCTTTACCTGGCCATTAATGGGTTTCTAGTTCTTAATCGTGTCCAGGTTTATGAATCTGAAATTGAGACTTTCTGTGGCCCACCTAGTGGCTTCCAGATTGAATCTCTAAGCAGTTCTGTCAGTTAAACAACTTCTGCCTTACTATGAGAAGCTGTTGCGTTGTTTCCTAACCATTATCCCCCTATTTGCTAGGCTGGAGTCTCAGTATGCATATGAATCACCAATTACGTAGAGAAATCGTGCCTGCTACTCAGATTCATTTTCTTAGGAAGATGATTTGTTCATTTTGGTGTATTAAAATAGCCAATGTTCTTCCTCTTAACTTGCTAGGCTAGTCTAACGCGATGAATGCTGGATCCAGGCACGCACTCTAATGTATTATGCATGATGGAAATCATTATCCATTATGTCAACAGCATTTATAAGTGGGATGGAAATATTAAAGCCCTTTATTGACTATACCTGTTGCTTTAGTGGCCTAGTTGGAAGATCCTGTTGTGAATGAAATCTTTAAGTGCGTAAGTTAACCTGAAAGTACAGTTTCAGTTAAGAACTTAATGTCTCCGTCTACTCCTAACTAAGAAAACGCTTCCAAGTTCCTATGGTCTTGCTCTTTGCCTATCTGATCTCTCCAACTGGAGGCTCTTATGTTGTGTGGATTTTTTTTTTTTGGGAGTTTTTAGCCCTTGGCAAAGGGCACTTTGTGTTAACAAGGGCACACCTGTTTTCAGACGACCGCATACCTCACCTTTGAGAAATTGGCTTCCTTTGTAGTGAAGCTTTTCTGGGTGGGAAAAGAAAATTAAAGTCCATGGCAGACATTTTAAGGGTGATGTCAAGGTGAGTCAGCCTTAACTACTCTTCCAGAAAGTTGGAGCTGACCATGGGTGAGCCTGTCACAAATGGCACGTATGTGACAAATCTGTCTTGTGGGTTGGAAACCTGGGTGAATTTGTCCCGGGAAGGCACCCAAACACGTGCAAGCATGGGAGGTACAACTTGATTGTGGTAATTGCAGAAAATAATCTGACTTTGAAGTAAAAAAAATCTCTCAGGCTGAATAACTTCTTCCTATAAAACCCTTTATAGAAGGGTTATTCTTGGTGGAAAAACTTAAATATTTCTCACATCATTCTTTCAGTATGCTGCTTTTGATTTTTAGCAGAGTGGGAAATCGCCAGACTGAAACCAACATCCTCCAATGACTTTTTCTTGATTTCCCCCCCGCCTCCCCATAAGTAGTTTCAGAGAAGTGGTTGGAGTGCTATCTTAGTGGAGCCACCTTGTGTGTGTTAATGGTGGCTTTGTCCTATCCTTTGCCTTGAGTAGTGCAGGTCTCTCCCAAGTGTCTGGAAGGTCTCAGGAGCCTCCTGTTTCCTCTGTACCCACTGGTGGAGGCGCTAATGATTCAAACTCTTTAGGCTCCCAGGTGACATTTCAATAACAGCAGTGATGGTAGAGACATTAAGTGCTGATAGTGTTCTTCTGTCGACCCTTGACTCTTCTGGACACTACCTGGTGCTTGTTCACTCCTGATGGCACCTGTGTTTCCGTCAAAGGTTCCTGCTACCTGAGAATCCATCCCCTCCCCACCCCCACAACCTAGGCACAGCCTTTCAATCAAGGGAGTGTAACAGTTGTAGTTTCCAATGCCCCCCAACCTCAGGAAAGGGACTGCCCTAAGGTGCGGCCCGTGCTCTTTCTAGAGCTGTGGAGGTTGAGCCAAAGTTCCTCTGCATGAACTTTGCTGAATATCACACCCCTGCTTGCTGTCTTTTCCTTCTGTCTCCACTCCCTTCCCCTGGGAGCACTGCCTACTGGATCACCTGAATCGGAGTTTTCATTTCCTTTCATTTCAGGATCTGATTGGGGGAACCCTGCAGCTTGGCTGCGTGGATGGTGAGAAACTTCAAGACTCTGGCCTCCTCCGGGTCCCGTGAAGCTAAGCATGGAGGCTGTTAGTAGCTCCTGCCTCCCTCCTCCCTTCTCAGCATCACCCTTTGCTGCTATTCAGTCCCTAGTTCCCACTCCCTTTCCCGTCCGCTCCCCTTCATCAGATGGGCCTTACAGGCAGAGGGCTTCTAGCTCTGCTGCGAGCATCGGAATTCCAGAGTTCGCATGCAAATTGTTACTGGGTTCACATGGTATGTTCTGTATTAGTTGTGTGCAGTGAGCGAGCTTGCCCTGCCCTATCTCCCATGGTCCGTGGTTCTGGTCCTGTGCCTTCTTCCCAGTTAGACTGAGCACCTGGAGGGTAGAGGCCGTAGCAAATGTGTTTTTAGAGCCTCCAATGTTCAGCACTGTGCCTTCTACTTAAGAGATTACTTGAGGGCTTGTCTCTTGGTTCCTTACCTGCCCCCCCCCCCCCCCCCCCCCCCCCCCCCCCCCCCCGCCCCCAAGTCCTGCTGGAACTTCTCTGTAGCCCTTTGCTGACACCAAGTCTCCCAACTCAGACCTCTTGGGAAAGCTTGGATTCTAGCTGCTGGTTTTCTCCAGTTTTCTTTTGGTTGATCTTTCACTTCATTGGCTGCAGGATGGCCACCCTTCAGAAGGCTTTTTGACAACCCCATGTCTGGTTGAAGTCTATTACTGCACTTTAATAGAGCTGGCATTCACTTGCTATTTAGAGGGCTTAAGGCACCTCTGAGTAGAAACT